ATAGTTATTTATGAGGTTAGCCGATTAAAGATTGACCATGAATGGAATGTTAAGCAGATTGAGCAGATTAGATAGGTTACTGAAACAAAACTCGCGTAGTACCTAACAGTTAACCCACGCCCTGGTGGGGTCTGTTTATAACGCGCCCTGGTGGGGGGGGGGGCTATTTTTTGCCCCCCCCCCTCGTATCTCCGAAACTACTGGACGGATCCGCAAAATTCAAACGGCGTTCGAAAGGCCTGTCAAATTTGTCGAAGGAAACCAAATTTCATTGACCTCGGGGTCACCGATGACGTCACAGGTCAGGTCAAAGATGAAATGTTTCACCGTTCACGGGTCTTCTAGGGAATGCGCTATATAACACCGAGGAAAACGCATTTTGTCGAAAATCAGCGATAGGGCGTCAGTTGCCTGGTAGATATGTTGCTATTAGAGGTCACTGACTATACCAGGTCAGGTCACAGGTCAGGTCACCAAGGGTCACAGAGGTCAGGTCACATGAGCCCAACTTTACTTAGGTTGTGTGATGCATGTTTTATGGCCAATTTTTCATTTCCAACTCAATGGTGTTGGTTATAAGACTATCAGGTACGGCTTAGGTCACTTTCTGGTGAAGTTCAGGTCAAGGTCAGGTCAAGGTCAGGCCAAAAAAGGTCAAATTTTAAAGTTGCTGGTTTTGCATAAAATGGGTATTGATTCGATGCAGCTCGTCACGGGGAGTCTAATGGTGGTCTTTGTTTTGCGCTACGGGGTCTAGAATTGCTAAAAATTGAGTTTGAAAATTTGACGTCATCAATTTTGAAGTTTTTTCGCTGTAACTTCGCCAAAAAAAGAGGTATCAATCTTAAATTTGGTATGTGGATGGAAGGCGGTAAGGACTATCACATATATTCCGGTTTTTGCGAAATTCCAAAAACTTTTTGGATTTTTCGGCTAATATATCCAAAAAAAATTATTTTTTGATTTTTGGGGGTCAAAATCCAAAAATTTCAAAAATCCGAGATAGCAGTTTTGTAGCCCTGTCAATTCTACAGCTTTTATGTCCTTATCATTTTTCTGTATTTGCAAAGCTGTAGGCCTGACAGCTCTTCCCGCGAAACCCTTTTTTGGGTCGAAAACGGCAGAACATGACGTCACTCTGACGTCATTTCCGGCCAACCTATCATAGCCTTTGGAAAAATTTTTGGTCACAATGTGTAAAATTGATGTCCGGGAGGGTACTGAAAGTTTGGTGACGATCGGCGCAGCGGTTCTGGAGATATATCGAAAAGTCTGGAGGGGGCAAAAAATAGCCCCCCCACCAGGTCGCGGGTTAACACATTTAACCTGCACTCAGGCTGCATCACATAGACACACGCAAGTTCGTCCAGCGTAGCTAAATTGTACGACGCGGGGCTCGAGTCGTTCCAGCGCTAGATACCTATACGAGCAAGAGATTTCTGACGGAAATATCGCCCATTGGTGGTAGCAGTCCGAGTGCCAGTGATTGGGACTGGCCGACCTCGGCTTTGGCGTGGTCACATTAAAACGTTTACTTTGGCATCTATGCTCTCCTGCTTATCCGGCATTGCCCGATCGGACGGTTTACTAATAAACGAAGCAACCTCACGGGTACCGGCTGAAAACACGTTTATTTTAAGACACCTTGTTTCGCTATTTTCGTCTCACCCAGAGACGATTGTTTCTCATCACCGCTAAAGCAATTAAGCACCGTTAGCAAATAGCATGTCAACCATTGCATTGGTCGCCGCCATTGACCCCGTCTGCAACCCGCATACCGCTGTGTACCTAGGTTCCATTAGGTACTTACGGCGCTTTGGAATGTCGAAGACACCATTCAGACAAACTCTGTGAAGGCTGCCGATCATGCATTGCTCTGCCACCACTTCAGTCCAGTACTAGAACTGCAACGTCGGTCGGTTGACCTCATACCGTCCCAGCCTATACATGGAGCTATGGCAGGTCTCTGTCTCATCTGCCGGAGTATTGAATAAAAAATCGTCATAAATCGTTATATGCGAGCTTTACACATTTATAGAAGTTACATAGCTTCCGTATACCTCACTTTATCTCGCATAGGTATAATTAAGTACTTGTATGAAGTTTTATCGAAAGAACTTTTGCGTATGTCAACTAAATACGAAATACGCCCAGTCGATATTCTGTGTCCAAAACCAGTATTTGTCTACATCAAAACAATGCCGATTGCCGAACTACCCACCGCATTACATAAGCATGTGCTTTAGGCATCTATCCGCCGTCTTCTCAACAAAGAGCGCTTATTCCCAACCTCCCATCCAAGCTCCTCGGCTCCGGACGCCAGCTCGGAGTCATGCCCTCAGAAGTGTCTTCCGTCACAGTCACGACACACGGGCGTCACGCTAGTGGTTCGTGACGGCGCGTGCAGGTGATGCGCATACCGGGGCGTCACGCGGGCGCCATCAGCGCCGCTCCAGGGCTCCCTGTGACGCTCTGTGACGCTCTGTGACGCCCGCCGCCATGTTTGGTGACTCGGGCACCCTGGTAGGCGCGACTCTCTATGATGCTCGGTAGGCTCTGGACGCTAGTGAGGCTTTGTGACAGCCCCGACACCGACCCAGCAGTCAGCACCGTCACGGAGTGTCCGTTACGGCGGCACCGTCACGGAGTGAGCACAATGAGACAGTGGCAGTGCGAGTAGCCGACATCGGTAGCCGGCATCGCCCATCGGTAGCAGACAACCGGTAGCCGCCGAGCACGTTAGGCTATAGGTGAAATACAGTGACACACTGCTCGCATGACACTTGTCCATACTGCTTTACCAAACGACGGTGGCAGATAGACAAACAGCGGGACATGTTGTACATTGTACATGTACGTTGTTCATTGTACAACAGTAGCAGACAAGGGAGACAGCGATCGGAAACGAAGATAAAATGAGACAACGGTAGCAGGCTGAAAGGGAATGGTAGGAGACAGATGGAGACATAACGAAGGATAAGGGGATAACTATACATATTGGCGGAGAGATTGGAGACCGGAAGATACAAAAAAACTATTGATGAGGAACTTTGGTAGGCGGGGAAAGACATCCGTGGTAGAAAGAGACAATTTTTGGCAAGTGAAGAACGCTCAATGCGACATCGAGATGGTCAAAGATGGTGACATCTTATGCTACCTCAATAAAACACATACCTACCGTTTATGTGTAGGTATGGTATAATAAGCACATAGGCCTGCCTTTACCAGACGAGCGAGGCATACCATTGCAAATTGCTTCGCCTTCGACAACGTCAAGTGTGGACGCGGATGGCACTAATGCAGCGCGATTAATCGGGATTAACAACTGTCATATAAGCCATGACCAGGCTATGACAGTATTTTCCCAATGACTGAGTTTATGAACATCAGACCGCTAGGTATAGGTAATGACGAAGGTCACAATATAGAGCTTAGCGTTCTAACGGATATCCGCGCCAGGAATCGATTGGAATCTGCCCCACGATCAGCGGCTTCTGACTCTAATGACGTCAATAAACGCTCTTTCTCTCCACGATTTACCATTATGCTCATGTTGCTTAGCTAACGGGACACTCGAATGGCTACAGTAAACGCTCAAAACTGCGCCTAGATTGCTCTATCGTGACACCTGAAAGCAGGCATCTTTGTCAACTCCGAGCGAAATTGTTGGCGTTGCGACCCGACATGCCACGGCTGGATATAGTGGGAGAGCATTGATATAGATTCCGAAGGTCATAAAATGGGAAAAACCTCACACACAGATCCGCGATTAAAGTCGTCGGAAATCCCTAAAAAGCAACGTCGAACAAGGATATTTCAGCGATGTTGAGATAATTACACGATTTTTGAAGAACACTAATGATAACACAGCTGGACTCTCAGCTATCCCAATTGCGAACGGTTTGCCGGTGGCAAAAAATCCAGTGCAGGTAGTTAGTGTTCTTCGTGAGATCCTCAACCACGCAAAGCGTTAGAGACCGCAAAACAGTGAAAAATGTGGCTGAGATGTTTCATGCTGAACATGGAAAACCAAACACAGGTAGCTATTGGATGCCTCGTGCTGTGAAAAATTGATCAAGGCTTCCCTCTGCCAAATACCTACATTGAACATGTCACATATCTGTACGTTTGGATTTTTGACAAAAGTATCCTACGACTTACGAGCCGGATCTCACGAACAACAAGAGATGTAAAAGTGCAGTCGTCACTGGTAGGTATGCCATGGACAAGCACGTAAAGTTTATTTATACTAGTATGCAAAATTATACTAGTATGGGGTATGTAGAATTATGCTAGTAATTGGACTAATATACCACCGAGCCGATGATATATCGATGTGCAACAACCAAGCAAAAAGGCTGGGAATGTTTGAATCTGTATTTACGACAAGGGACCCAAAATGACATGCTCATAAGAAGGTAAGGCTCCCTTCGGAGAGAACAGAAGAAGGTAAGGCTCCCTTTTCATACCTACGTCTACTGCCTACTGGCACCCCTCCCTCCCTCAGCCCTTCGATCCCCGTCGGAACTAGAATCTCGCGGATTTACGAGCTATGAGCGGACTTGTCCGAGAATGTCAAAGTAAGAAAGCTTTGACTTTTGTGACCTCTCATAACCTGACCTTTGACATGAGGTGCCTAAAAATGACTGAAATATCTTATATCCATCTTCGTGAGCTTTGGCGCTCTTTCGAACGCCGCTTATCGCGTGTCGCTACGTGGCCCAGAAGCCGAGTGGGAATAGAACGTTAAAACGACTTTAAAACGACTCCCCTCCTTGATGTGTACAATTGATTGGTGGGTATATATATTATAGTGGTCAGTCCAACCATGTATACCACATTCACAGAAACATTGCCTTTCGTTCCTTTTCCATCCTTTTCGTCTCCTCCATCGCCTCCCACCTCCAATCCATCCTCTCCAGCCCCATGTATCGGCCGCTCCCGCCGTGCCGTCGGCCGCCGTCCGCGGCTATAAAAGACCGTCGGCCGGCGCCGGGCGCCAGTCGTCGTCCGTCGCTGCCACAATGTGGGTGTCGCTGCCGCTGTCCGGGGTCCTGGCTGTGCTGTCTGTCGGCGCCGGAGCGCTGCCGGCTCTGCAGGCCGAGCACCGCCTGCCGCCCGACCTGGTGCTGCCCGACACTGCCAGCATCCCCGGCCAGATGCTGGCCGACTGGGGAGTCGACAAGTTCTTCTCGCTGTGGTACATCTTCGCGCTCAGCGATAACGTCGAGGTGTCCAGTGAGTATTGCTGGGATGTTGGGCGACTGGGTGGATTGGGATTCCCGATTCTGAGTGGATCAAGTGCATTTTTTTTCAATAGTGAGTGCATTCAAGAGCCCCACAGTTTCGTTATTGAAATTGTCAGTTGTGACGAATTCAGGCTTCGACCCGAAAGCGTGTGTGAGCTGGTGACTACAGATTTTAAGTTATAATTGTGTGTACTTTTCTTGCCAAGGCATTGTTAGTTCTGTTATGCAGATTCCTTTTGAATCATAGGTTTATTTAGGTTTTAAAATTGCCCTCTGGGTCCTAACATTCCTCGGACATAAATTTTGATGGTGCATAATAACCTATAAAATGTCCGATTTAACGTTGCCGAGAAAAAGTTGAAAACGTCCGTCATTCCATGGGTGCTGTTAGGTGTGGTTATCGCCCGTTTTATACGCAACAAATGAGTGCAAGTATTGCTCCATTTTTACAAACGGTAGCGTAAACGTCAAGTAAATAATTTATGTAACCGGTATAAAAATATCAGACTTAGCTGAATAAGGGCCGCCATTTTTCTTCAACGTAACATCACTTCTGTGTTGCGAATGCTGAAACAACACTGCATGACCACAAGTACATGCACATTCACTTCCCCCTATCCATACTTAGTACTTTTGTCTAGATTGCTGACATTCAGTCTAGCATGAAACACTGCACAATTTCCGACGGTAATGATCGAACAAAAAAACTCGTCTTTTTCCTGCTCGTCGTGCCCAAATCTGACCGAGGAGGGCCGGACGGCCGGCTGTGCTGCACCATATTTGACGTCGCCCATCGTACGACAACAGGAAAGTTTGACCGCGGCCCGCTCGGACGAGCGGGGACATTCCTAAAGCAGGCTCTACCCACGGCCACTGCTGTGCCGCGGCCACCCGCTCGCTCCGCCGAGCCGCGCCGTAGCGAGCGGGTGGCGTAAAGGGCGATGGGCGATGTCAGCCCTCGTGTGCGCAGACCAGTTCGCCGACTGGCCGGATAGTCGGCAAAAATAAAACGGCTTGGCCAGATTTACGGCAAGTGGCAAAGAGATGGATTTTATGTGCGCTATTTTATGGAGCAACATTTTTGAAAATGACAATAATAAAATTTTTAATTCAAAGTTGCTTTAAGATTATACAATTCATTTGGAACGCAACATACATAATTCAGAGTATGTTTTTACAGAATAATGCTTCAAAGTCTTCTCAGTTGTAGCGTTTTGTCAAAGATAAATATGCATCTTTTTAAAAATGGTAAGCGCACTACTATGCAGTATGCAATATATGACGAATTGAAATACCTTCAAGCCAAATTGGCACTTTCAATTGCAAATAATTATTTCTTTGAAATTTCAATATGTTAAGAATTAGTCATCATTCACCTACAATAGAAAAATTTAACCTCTCATTTATCATCTGATACGCACTGTTCAATTTTTAGTTGTATAAAATGGTCCTTCGAAGTGTGCAAGGAGCATACAAGTTATAATTCATCCATCCGTTCACTCTTATTTACCTATTAGGCATCACTATTCACTCGTGCGACGAGAAAGGAGCATAAACAATAAACATGTTAAATTACGCAGCCTAAGAAAACGGCGCTCCCCTCGAAATTGCCCGAGAACTGCAGCAATATCAGCAAAAAGTGCTAAATATGTGAAGCATTTTAAAAATAACCACATCGACACGCGTCAAACGACATTCTTTAAGTGATTACGGCATTCTTGTTACGTAAATCAAATTGATTGGCACCCCAACCGAGAGCCTTCCTGCAAGGTAAAATTTAATGAACAGTTCCAGCAATTCCAGACGTTTTGAAGCTTAACAATAGATAGGCTTGGCGAGAACTACGTCACACACCTCGCAGGCATGTCAGATCAAGCTGCTTCAGCTCACTCAGGCGCTGGTTTCACCACTATGCAGGCTAGAAAGAGGCACTCGCAGCTCAGCCTGCTGACGAGACATACACGAATCGGAAATAAACAACCGCCAAGGTCATGGCGTGACCTATGAGCTGTGCGTCATTTCAGGAAACACTGCCACTGTGCTGCAGGAGTTCGCAGTGAAATTAGTCATCACAACCATTCGGCGTTCACTGCAACAGCTGCGGTTTCAGAAATTAATTAACACTCTCTCTGGTATCTCCACAGTGCGTTAAGCTCAGAGAAAGGGATTCGCCATGGTGAACTGCGTCCACATTTACGCTTCCCAGCGTGTGGACTATTTTATGCAAAATACTGGCGTTAAACTGCGAGATTGTGCAGGAAGAAAGCGTCGCACAGTGGCCGAATCGCTGGTTTGTTTCACCGGTGCCCCTTACTTTCACACTATTTACAATAAAAATAAATTCGTTTTATAAAACGAAATCTCTTGTGACTTTCATCAAGAACGTTGATTTGAGCTAGGATCTCTAGATAAATTAAGAAACTGCGATCACAAAGAATTGAACCAAAAACACTCCAACATACGAGACTCCTCACACGCATACAATGACATACGCAAACAGGTAGCGGTCGATACATTCGGTGAAAATTGGCGACGTTCACACCATGGGAGCCCGAAGCCTGACGCGTTCTGAAACTTCGTGGAAACACACTCAGACAACGGTCCACCACAGCGCCAGCGGCCTGTTGTTATTGATGGGGATACTTTCCGCGAAACGGCCCCCGTGGTTCATTGGAGCCGGTCTGTCACTGGCATCTCTGACGTCATACTGCTTGCCTGGGGATGTTTTGTTCCGGTGGGGCCGTTCAGGTTTTGATTAACAGACAACATTCGACGAAGGCGTTAGTCAGAATGCGTCGCTGTGTTTTAGGAATATGACACAAAACTTATAGCACTTGATTAATTGATAGGCAGCTAGGCTTCAGGTGTGGATTGTACGCGGTGCCATGGAACATTCATTGAATGATGCAGAGATATTCCCCCTTGAAGAATGAATCAGCTGATTCCGGTGGATCGCCATTTTCATGGAAGCGTTTGCTCAAGCCTCCCACCAGGCTGAGAGTGGTGGCATGCGTGGACGTCAGCTTTCGTCATAATCACGCACACCTTGACACGCAACCCGAAAGAATTATCATTTATGCATATAGCATTGTCACCGAAACCCTCGAAACTTCTTACCGCCTGTCACACCAGCAGAGGTGGAGATCTCGGGGGGGGGGGGGGGGGCAAGGGCGGCGCCACCGTGGGGGCAGTGGGGGCAGACTGCCCCCACTGGCAGGAGGCCGTGGGGGCAAGACTATGTTTTTGCCCCCACAAAATTTGGCTGATGTTGACAAGGGAACAGAAGACCGGTGCAACATTCATGATAGGCGGTTATAATAGTAGGGGAAAGTGGGTGTATTGCGCCCTCCTAACCAATTGCGCCCGCCCACATTCCCACGAATTCAATGGCATGTTAAGCATTTTGTTTTCGAAAACATTATTTTCACCACTGGATAGTTCCTTTAATGGCCCAAGCTCTCCGATGAAGCCAATCAGCGAGGCTCATTACGCCATCAAAGATATTACGGCCTTTTCTTAACTTTTTTGCAGCATTTCGAACCGTTGGCTATAAAAATAGGCGATACATGTGTGATTTTGAGGGTGATATTAGGAAAGAAAAATCCTTTTTTCATTATATTTCACTGAAACAGTAAACATCCTTCAGCATCTTTATGGTAACTTCTACGCTTTTATTAAAAAGTACCTCAATTTTAATTGCGCCCATGGCAATTGCGCCAGGGGGGCGCAAATAGAATAATGGTGTAGCTATTGTATCACGACAGTATGAATGCATCATTAACTGATTGCAATAAAGAAGGAGTTTTATGTCAGGCAGGGGAGCAACCCGCCATCGTCAGTCCAAAAATTATTTCTCTTATCGAACTTATAATGTAGCTGCCATTTGGGCTATGAACTTGCGGTGTAATTGGCAAAATACGGCATTTTTAGCATGGACACAGGCGTGAGAGGTGACAGCTATGATACAAAGTAAAAACTGATGTCAAAAAAGTTTTTGAAGCAATAAAAAATATTAATTTTGAGAGAAACGATTGAAAATATAACCGTCTAGGCGCATACGTTCATATATATCTAGTCGGTTACATCAAACGTTTTCGTTCCACTTCACAAGCATACCGGACACAAGTGAAGTTATTTACCTGCGTAAAAAACATCGCAATTTATATCTATATTTATTATGTATCGAGCTTGATTCATATAATACATGTTCAAGTAAGCCACAATGACATAGAATGCCGGAGTGTATGCATTCCGTCTCCTTTGCTTAGCCATGTTAAAGGATAGGGCGCAATTGGATTCTAATTGCGCCATCCCCCTGGCGCAATTTACAGCAGTTGTTGGTAAATGCGCCCTTTTGCATGTTTCTGAATAAGCAGCTGTCAGAAGCAAATGAAACATTCTTAATTGATCGGGAGGCTCTTAAATCGTAGCCAAAGAGTTCCTCTTTAAAATGGTTACCAGTGCATGCTTACATCTCAAGTGGTTTTCTTACAATTAGCGTTTTTGCTTAAGGTGGCGCAATTCACCCTCCTTCCCCTACGCCTGTTTTTGACGGTCCCCGTATCAAGTGCATCAGCAGAACGTTCGTTCTCGGACCGTCTGTCGCATGTCTCCTACTCCCACTCATTCTCCTACTCATCTTCATTCACCAGAAGGCTGCCCTCGCCCCTCGAGCTTGACCTCGAGGAGGTTGAGAGGCAGTTTGTCAAAAGTCGGCCAGAGAAGAGATCACCCTCTTTTTGGGAACCCTTAGACTGAGACTGAGCTCAGACAAAATGTGATAGGTATGTATGTTCGGGTTATCTGGAAATGTATGTGGGTCGCCCTAATGGAGCTTATTCTGGTATAGGTATCAATCAATCGTGTGTGGGAGAATCGCACATATACGGGAAAGAGAGAACTAGGTACTGACTACGAGAAGATTCTATCTAAAGCACCTAAACTTTCTTTTACCTCAGGTCAATTTTCAAGGTCAGAAGTCAAGGCCAA